GGGGGGGGGGGGTATCTGTACTTACCCCTTGAGGTGTACCACAACCCATCAGAGACTTGGACTGGCCAGCTCTGCACATCAGTTCCCACAGGTTTGGGGGAGGGTCTGACAGATTGATACACATGTGAACACCTCCAGTGAAGTCCACCAAAGCCTCGNNTCATGTCCGCGTAGGAACCACACACCCTGGATGTGATATTATTTTTAGAGTTACTCCAGAAATGAGACAAAACTCATGCAATGACAAGACATTTGTGTCTGAGAAACAATGGACTTTTCTTTCCGTACTTGGCATATGCTTTCTCCATCAAAGCAGGCCAGAACTCATTTTGGTCAATGGAGTGAACGAAGATCAGTCTCCCATTGATTGTTGGTAGCTTGTCATCAATGATGACATCCACCCACCTTCCAAATCTCCAGAACTGAATGGTTAAAAAATAAGGGAATAGAAAATAAAAATAAGATCTGTGTACCATCAAATGTTACATACATACTGTGTGTCAAGTTAGGGTCAATATTCACATTGTTATTCATAAGAAATTTCAGAAAATAATTTCTTGTTTTGCGTCTGTTCTTCAAAACACTGGATGAAATACACCTTCAGTCTGGTTTTAAAGTAATAATGGCACTATATTATTATAGAATGTCTTAAATGACAAATAATTAGCACCTATGTGCTGTTAGTATTTACCCTGAAATGGAAGAGCCCGCAGTAGTTCTCATCAAATGTTTGTTCAAGAGGGACAACTTGCCCAAGGATATCAGGCTGGAACGTCAGAGCACCGATAGACGCAAGAAACCAGCAGTTTCCTGGGCAAAACATGGTTGTTGTTTTGTCAGAAAGATAAGTCAGGTATAAGTCAAGTATTAGGATTGAAGAAATTTCCCTACCAAGTAGTCCTTGACCGAAGTCAAACCTGGAGACCCCATCAAGTACGAAGGATGGATTAGGAGCAATTTTCTGAAATAGAGAGAGTGTTAAAGAGTCAAAAACAACAAAAAAGATACTTTAAAGACTGGAAGAATAGTTTCTTAATACAAAACTTACATGCCCACTTGTACAATGAAATATTTACTTGTCATTGTAATCACTCCTACTATTTATATTGTTCAGGTAGAGATCCCCTCTAGAGAAAACCTTCAAGCTTCATTCCACACATAAAATTACATTCCTACATTCAGCTAAAGTAATATTAGGCTTCAGCAATCTGAGGTAGCCAAATCAAGTCTTTTTAGTCTGAAATTTCCTCATGCTGTTGCTGGAACTAAGCCAACCAATCTCTGAAGAATACTGGCCATGAAGGCCAGCCGTCAAGGCCAGCATGGAGAGGAAGAATGATTCCCAAAATATACAAGGGTTACAATATACAAATACAAATGTATGTGTGAGTATTGTATTAAGGTAGACATGAAAATAATCTCAACCTATCATTTAGTATTGAAAATCAAACATATCACATATCCCCAGTAAGGGACTGTATGAAAATTATTAGGGTGGGATGGTGGGGGCAGCCTTTTTGAGTCCATACATTGAAATAGAATATATATAGTTTTCACACTTTGGAATATGGAGAGGATTATACTCTTATCTATACTCTAGGCTTCCCATAATAATTAACTAGTAGATTGATCTTTATAGTTATTAATGATTAAACATTATCAAATCAAAAATGTCATGTTTTTTATTACCCCACAGTCATTCACAGTTAAGAGTAGAGCTAAAGTAAAGTTAAATATGTCATGTTAAAATATAAGCCTAAAATACTGTATTTGTATTTCAAATGCTAATATGATCAGTCAGTTTATTTAATTTTGACCCAATGTACTTCCATATAATCTGCTTTTACAGAGTAGCTAACCAACCAAGAAACTTGGTAAACTTGGTAACTGGGTTCCATGTTATATTTTAGTTATTAATGGTGAATCAATATTATTGTTGTTATCCTTTTATTATTTTTGGAATAGTTTGGGGGAGGGTGTTGCAGGTTTTTCTAAGTCAAAGTGAGGGTCCGTAGAAAGATTTTATAATCCTGGGGATGGCCATGACTTTTTAAAAAGGGAAAAATAAGGTTTAACCATAGCCATCCCAATATGTTTTCCCAAAACATACACCATCAAAATGGTGTGTCCTGTTTATTATAACTACTGGTTTTACACCATAGTCAGAAACCGGTGTTTCTGGATTATTTTAACGCAGCTGGTGTCGAAGTCATCTCTCTATAAAAGCAAGAAATCTCTGTCTGTCTGTGTGTGTGTGTGTGGCTCAAATATCTCTGCAGATCAGGATCAGACTGACCTGAGAGTTTCAACATGGCGACCAATTTCAGCAGTCTTTGAAAAATTCTCTGAGTTTTTAATCAGAACCACAGTCGAGTCCAACACAGTCCCAGATACTGCACTCTTCTGGGCCTGGGTACAGTGACTCTGGTATTGCGATTTTTCGATGCTCATTTAAGTTGTAAATCGTTTTGTCCGTTTCGTTCTGGAAGTCCGCTCACATTTCTTTTTTTCTTTTTTTCCCATTGAGGAAGAAATCACTTAAATGGTGCTGCTGTGTCTTTTATCTTTAATTCTGACCCCCTGTCGGCCAGGTGCAGACTCTAGGGTAGAAAGTGCTCATTGGCTGTCATAAAAAGTCGCTGCAGTCCCTAAATGAAGTCATCGCCTATTTGGCATAATGGCCATTTGCGCTGACTGTAACAGGCATGTAATGGACGCTGTAGACATGGTCATGGGGAGAAAAATTGGTAAAAAAAAAAACTTACATTTGTAAATTTTAATTTTTGGTGGAGAATGGAGTTGAAGGATATTACCACCCCGCTCTAGTAAGCCATGTGCCAAGGAACGGCGGCGGCCTCGATGTGCGATTCACCGGGAGTGGCGTGTTGTCCTTCTCTGGCTCTGACTGCAGGCCCGGGATGCTGCCGAGTGCTACTGGGTGAGACTTTTGGACGAGAGGGAAAGGGCCTCAGCGCACCGGTGTCAATTTTGTTGCCCAGTACATTGAAAAAAGGTTGAACATTGCCCTTTTTCACCGTCATTGGGGTTCCCTTCCAAACCAACACGAAAGGGTAGCCGTTTCGAGTTGGGTCGCCAAGCCAG